GGGGAAGGAGTCACGTTATTCCGAATGGCGAGGACAAACTGTTCTTTGCTGCCAAGCAGGGTGACCTTGATGGCCTGAAGAAAGGGGCTGGCAGGAACTGCCTGCAGCTCAACCAGGGCAAGAGCCAAGTACTGCACCAAGGTATTACAAACCAGTTTAAACACAGAGGAGCATGCTTAAGAAAAAAATGTCTCTGTGAATAAAATGGATCAAACCCCAGAAGGTTCGAAATATACCCCATAACTCGATTAAAACCAAATGAAGTTAGATGTTGTGCCAAAAAAGTTGATATATTTAATTTAATAGTAAAATGCCGCCATGCCCACCTGAAGCCCCCTGGCTTTGCCCGACCAGCTCTGGCATGGCTGGCTGTGGGGCACACTCCCCTGTGCCTTCAGGAGGTTTGGGGAGTGGCTAGGGCTGAGCGCTGCTGCAGTCAGCCCTGATATGGAGAGACACGGCAACATTCCGAGGAAGAAGGAGCAGACTCTCCCTTGGGGTAACAGTCCAGAGTTTTTTACAGGACTCCGAGGATCCTGCACTCCAGGGGATACAACCAGCATAGTGCCCCGAACTAGCTCATGCAACAACTTATAAAGGGGGATGTAACAGGGGGAAGGGATCACCCCCAAACAATAGGAAGATAGGGAACCAGACAAATACAGAATCCAATGGGAAAGGTTTAAGGCAGGGACTCCTGGCCCTCACCCAATCACTTGATGCCCCAGGAAGAAGGTTCTGGAGGAGTGGGATGGGGAGCTGAGTGATGGACAAGGCACCAGGGAGGGGACGGGAATGACTTGGCACTTTTAGGGTGATGGACACTGAGGGAAGAGGCAGGAAAACTTAAGAGTACAACCACTGGGGAAAATGCGGGGTAAAGGGACAAACCATTATATAGAATGTGAAAACACAATACAACAGTAAAAGAGGCAAAGAGAAAGAAAAAGAAAGAAAGGAATAGAAAATGGGGGAGAGGGTTGGGATGACACAGAGAGAAAGTGATTTGGATTAGGTAGAAACATATCACCCTCCCAAGGGTCCCAACAACTCGTTGCTCCCCTCCATCTGGTGATGAGGGTTCCCCACCTCCTGCTGCTGAAAAGTATAGAATTCAATGGATTAATCTACATTTGGGCCAGGTGGGAATGCCCACATACCTCCCATGCAGGGAGCCAGTTTGACACTGTCCCTTACAACACTGTGTATCTGTCGTGTCATGTTTCTGTGCTCTGGTGTAGGATCTGGAGACTGATGGGCCACGACACCCCCTCTGCTGTCCTTCATGTGGCTTTTCCTGAGTTCAAGGGGCCCCAGAGCTCTGCACAGCAGAGGATGGGTGCTCACTGCCCCTGGCCAGAGGCTTTTTTACCATACAAAACCTTTCCTCACCCCCTCCTTTGGTGTAGGGTCTGTTTGAGTCTGGCAGCTGATAGCCCTGGGGCTGAGGCCTCCACCTCGAGGGTGCCAAGCTTGATCCCTCTGTGAATGTATTCTTCTTCCCCCAGCCCAGACTGAATCACTTTATCTTATTTCCATTAACGAGCAGTGCAGGGCCTTAGTCGGGGTATGGTGGTCTTCTCTGCTGCTTTTATAATTTTGCTATAATAGGCAAAAGTAATTCATAAAGATGTTTAAGCCACAAATTATAATATTTCAGTCTCCAACGCCAGGGAGGGACAAAGCCTTGCAGCAACAGATGCTGGGGCACAGCCAGCTCTGAAGCAGCCATGCAAACACCTGGGTCATGGAGGACCCCAGGATGAGCCCCAAATTGAAGGCGTCAAAGTGCCCTTGGGGCAAAGGTGACAAAACCCTGGCCTGCAGTAGGCAAAGCTCTGGCAGCAGGTGGAGGGAGGTGACCTTTCCCCTCAGCTGTGTCCAGCTCCAGGCTCCCTGTGCAAGACAGACACTAGTCATACTGGGGAGAAGTCAATGTGGCAGTGCCCTCCTCAGCTCCACACCAATGCCCATTGGAAGGTGGTCTGTGGGAGCCAACAGCCACTAGATACAGCAGGAGGCATGGAGCAGTGCTGGCAGGAGGCATGCACTCCATGATTTCCATACACAGAGCCTGGCCAGGGAGCAGCCACACTACCAGCAGGGAGGGATGGGGGCACCTCCATGCCTAGATCCCTTGGTCTAGGCTGGTGGAGGGCCTGGCAGATGCAAAGGGCTGTGCAGCCAGTGGGGTGAGCTGGTGTAGGAGGGGTGAGGGAGGGAGGTGAGGTCCTGCAGTGTCTCTGAAGGGGTGGAGAGGGTTGGGAGCTACCTGGAACACCACCATATCCATGCTGGCAGTGCTGGAAGGAAAAACCTGCCTTGCAGGGCAGAGGGTCCCAGCTCTGCCACACTCAGGCTGTAGATGCCAGGTGGAGGAGGCTCATCTGTGGCTTTCTAAGCACAGTCTGGTTCTTGCAGGGCAGTCTCAAGCAATGTTCTCTGACAGCCCCATCTGGCAATGCTGGGGGACTTTTCCACTCACCAGGTTAATACTCAAGACCTTTCAATATTTTGGTGTTATGTGTTGTACTATAGACTTGTACTTTCTTTCTTGAATTTTCCAAATCCTGTCTACTTCCTTACTGCCCTCATAGCTTTCAGTAGCTCCCAGGCCAGTATTTCCTTTTTACTTCAGAGTTTCAAGAATTCTGAGCTTGGTTCAGCAAAGCACTGAAGTGTACACACAACATAACAAAATACATCCCCCTTTTTATAAGGTTATTGCTAGGTTTTGATGTATATAAGATGATATCATTTTGTATAATTATAGCAAATTTTAGTTACAACCAATAATATTTTCCATCACTAATATTGTAAGAAAATTAAACTATTAATATGCACATGAGTTATGTGTGCAGTGTGTGTGAGCACACAGCAAATGCCTTCATGTTCCAGCACTCACACACATCTGTGAGTTGATGGATACAAACATGCACACACAGAATAATCTACAGAGAGCAGATGGCTATTGCCATGTCCACAGCACTTCTTTTGATTAAAACTTAGATTGAAGGCTGTCAGACACCCAGAACAAAACATCCTTGAGTGCATCCCATTCAATCATTCTGATTGCAACTACTTAATTAACACACCCTTCCTGGAGATACTTCATTTGGTATTTACATTTATTATCTAATGGTTATTTTAATGTACATTCTGGGTAATCAATCAAAATACCCAAGCAACAATCCTCTCTCTATATTTTCAAATAATCAGAATACTCATACTGTTCTATCCTTCACACAGGTTTGTTTCACTGTACTTTATATAGAGACTGAGAGGGGATTATATTTTCCTTATTTTCACCCATTTTTTTTCCAAAAATTAACTTTGTTTTGGCTCTGACATGTCAAGACACCAAAGCATTAGTTAAAATTCACTGAAAACTGCAGTCCTATGGGATTTGAACCTATGCTTTAATGCTTTGCTGAAATAAGGAATTTCTGCAGTGAGACATGTAGAAGTTTGGTAATTTTCCCAGGAAAATCATTTGCTGAGTATTGCCTAAACAGTACCCACATACCAAAAACCCAGGCCTAACCTGAATTGTGACATTAAAAAACTCCCTGAGCAAGTTTAACTGCACCAATAGTCTTACATTTATAACTATGTATCAGCTAAATTGTCAACATATTTTCTTTCACAGTTGCAATAGAAAAACTACCAAATCAGTTTGTTCTTGTTTTGTTGGGATTTTTTTAAAGTTTTAGTTATGGGAGAATCCTATCAGCTGCAAAATCACCAAATTTATAAAGTCAGTAACCCAAAGACAGATTTAATATCAAACAGGCCTTGATATGAAAGAAAACACAGGAGTATCAGTATTAGTTCTCTTTAATAGCAAGTTATTTTTAAAAATAAAAGCAAAACAAGAAAGCAATTCTTAAAAAAACCCTCAGAATTGTTGTACATAAGCTTAATAAAATTAAATTACATAAACTTTACAAAATAATGTGTTTCTCAGGTAAAACTGAGTTAAGCCATCACACACAGCAGATCATGACAGAGAAACTACTAGCAAGACCACCTGTATCATTCTTGTTTCATTTCTACTAGAATTATTTGTTAGGCATAAACTAGTTTCCCTAAATAAAAGAACGTGATACAAAATTCATGTTGTCAGTGTTGCAAGGTAAATGATAAAATGGTTATATCTCTATTTCCAAACACTCTGATTTGTTTTTCTGACAAAATATATCCTGTCTTTCTTAAAAGAGAACAGAGGGGGAAACATTTTCAAAGTTGAGTAACACTCACAGCAATTTCATGTTCCTATGAAGGAAAATTATAACATTACATTTCTTTAGAATTTCATTTAATCCTTTCAACTATTCTTATTGATATCTGTAAGTCTTTTAAGCATGGAAAAAAACCAAACTTTTGGGGAAAGGAAAGAAATGACAGAAACTGCTGGCACTCAGAAGCTATAAATAGAAACCAACAATAAAGACATCTGTGTCATTTTACCTCACTATCATCCACAGTTATTTTATCCATTCTGATTCAGGCTTTTGTTGTTGTTGTTGGGGTTTAAGAGTTGGTCAGTTTTTACTTCTGCTTAACCATAAATATCTTTTTACATCCCAGAGAAATCAAATATATTTGAACATAGTCTTAACTGCTATCACAAAAAAAAAAAAAAAAAAAAAAAAAAAAAATAAAATGTAAAAAAAAAAAAAAAAAAAAAAAAAAAAGGAAGCATGCATACTTTGCTGAAGAGCTTGGCTAAATTAGGAGCTTATTTTGAACTGATCACAAATGCAATATTCCCTCAGATCTTTGTGAGACAGCTCAACAGAAGCTACAGGTTTCATAGACCGAAGGTTTCAAGAAGGTTTCACAGACAATTCAGAGATGCCACAGGGCAAACTGTTCTAACTGTGTTCATGCATTTTTTAACATGTCTTTTATACTTACATTGCCAAAGCAAAGAAATATGCTGAAGGATCTCCACAAATTTCTACTACATTGGAAAAATATACTTAATAACTAGTAGAAAAAGGGAAGATGTTTGTTTGAGTTTCAGTTATGACAAGTGGTTCTCCACATTCCTTTAAACAGTGCTTCAAGTTCAATTTGTTCATAAATGTAATTCTTGTCTTAATGGCTTGAAATCAACAAAAATGACATTAAGTTTTTTGTAGTAATAATTTACTAGCATTAACAATAAGGAAACCCACTATTTCTTTTGTATAATTAATAAAATTATGCTCAGGGCTGTATTTCTATGAACTACAAATTATTTCCATTACTAACAGAGAGATGATATGAGCAATGGAATCAATGTCATTAAGAGAACTAATACTGTGGATCAATGCCTTATTTACTAATGCATATTAAGCCACAGCCTATCAGGAGACAGCTTGCTCAAGAGGATGATGACACACTTCCAACCATTAAGGCCACGCAAAGGGTTCATAAATGCAATAATTATTCCTGACTTTTACAGAAAGCTTGGTGGGCTCATACTGAAGTCTCACATATTAAAATATCTCCATCAACAGCAATGGTTTCGTGGAAATATCAGTCTGAATCCAGGCATGTGGGCTTTTTTTAATTTCATTAATAAATCAAGCATCTCTTAGACTGAATTACAAATCCATTCAAATTCAAAATTTTAAACTAATCTACTATGTACTCTTCCTTTGTTTTTTGTTCAGGATGACAGTAATTCACTATTTAGTGCATCAGTGCAGGACAATCAACAAATTTTTCAGTTTTAAATGGAAACAAGCTGCAGTATTGCAAGCTATCCACATGTATTCATAGTGCTAAATAAGTGCTATATATGCATGCAAAACCTAATAATTCTAATTAATATACTGAAAATAGACTATTTAGTAAAGTTGAACTGCTCCCTCATTATACTAAACCATTTTCTGTAAGCATAAATCCACTAGGTGAGGAACATATTCTAGTTATATTTTAATGTTATACCTGGAAATTATGCCTATTGTGGGGAATTTTAGAGGAAAAACTACACATATCCTAGTTAAAAGGTTAAAAATAGTTTCTTTTCATTAACAAATCGACAAAGAAGTTTTGACATTGAATCTGGGTGGGTCTCTTTTCCTTTCCCTGGAACAGTATAGTTTTCGTAGTTGTTCTGTTGCTGCTAACTATCTGATACCACAGAACATTTCATTTACTTCTAATACTACTATGAAGTATTCTTGTATTTCCCCCCTCAAATCCTATCATAAAATCTCACCCTGTAAATATAATTCTATGTTCTTCTAGTAGATAAAAAAGCTTGTTTTTTCATCAGTCCATAGAGCATCATCATCTCACGACTCATTACGTGGGTACTCAACCTTCCTTACCAATCACAAAAAGATAACACTTTATTTAAAGTGTTTTCTTTTTTCATTTTGTGCCCATTACATTTTCTTCTTTATGCAACTGCTGCATAGTCATTGCTCTGGTCATTCTTTTCACTTTCTTGTGGGCTGGTGACTGTCACCCTTGGACTTGTGGATGTTTTTTCAAGACCGGGATCAACCTCAGGAAAAAGGACAGGCACTGTTAACGTCATCAGGTACCAAAGATTTCACTTCATTTCAATACAGCGTTAAGCATCTCATATTAAAATTTCCACAAGGTATTCTTAATGTGAAAAAAGTGTTTTCCAAGAGTGATCATGTTAAAACTTTAATTTATTTTACACTTATATATCTTCCAAAGTAGAAAGCACTTGCATTAGAGGTTCCCTCTTACAGTTCTTTCATCAAGCATCCAGTTACACACATATGCATTTAAAGTGAATGCTCACTCACTTTCTCCATTTACACAAAAAACTTCAACTTACCTAAAAAAAAAAAAAAAAAGTCAAATATATGAAGCACCAAATAAATTCAGAGCCCAAGAAAGTGTCATGTTACTCAGGTCTTTCAATTGAAAAATATTTTTGTGTGTCATACAGGGACAAAAAATGCCCAGTTGCAAAGTGCAAGAAACCATTCCCAGTGTCACAGGAAGCAGAGGAAGAGACTGTTTTTCAGCAGCCTCAAGGCAGGGAATGTGCAGCAATTTGCTCTGCTTCTGACACTCATGAATCCCACTCTTCCCAGGCCTGGATTCTCCCCATCAAACAAAATATTTTTTTTTCCCTCATTCTGTGAGCTGGTCAGTTCATCTGACAGTCAGGGGAATTCTCCTTATTTAGGTGGGTTGCATCCCTCCATGTAAGCCAACAGCATGTTACCATATATCCTAAATTAACATGATATTTGCTTTTAAACTGACTAAAACCCCTTGCTTTGAAGGATCTTGTCCATATCCACTGTATTTTTAAATGTCTAAGAAGAAGCGATAAAACTTCCACAAAGCGATGGCAAAAGCTCTTTATGAAATGCAACTTTTGTGAAAGTCAGTTCATCAAAATAATGAGGCACTGGTGTCATGAACACGCCTTTCTGCTCTGTCCTAATAGACAAAGTAGTGTAGAAATATATAATGATTCTGCTTTTCTGGATACTGCAATATATTTTTTTCCAAAATTCAGCATACTAAGAAAAATCAGAGATGCAAATTCATCAAATAGTGAGAAACATCTGCTCTCTCAGTTGGAGGGCGTATGATGTAATTACTGATGTAACTGATCTATACAGATGAAAAACAGCTTTTCCACAAACTGAAAGTCTCATAAATGGTTTCAGGACTTTATCAGAAATTCACTAATTAGAGACCAGATGAAAAGCATAAGGCTGATATGAATGAGGAACAATAACATAAGAAAAACAATTTGAAAGAATAAATACTCACCGGGTTCTGACTGCCAGAATCCTCTTTTCTATCTTCTTCAGGCTGAAGATCATTTTGGTAGTTCAAATGCTCCATTCCCTCACCATTTCCTTCATGTTTTTTGCCATTTAAATAGATAGGCTCCTTTTCCTCTGATTGGCCAACATTCTGTGTTTCTCCTGCTTCATCTTCATAATTTTCATTTAACTTATTTTCATTTTTTTCCACTTCAATTCTTTCTTTAATAGTTTCCCCACTTTCCTCTCCAGTCACTTCTGGATATTCTCTTGCATATGCCTCCTCTCCCCTGTCATTTTCCTCTTCTACATTTTCTTCTTCATCTACAGTTTCTGCTGGTCTCTGGTGAAAGGAAAAGCAGCAGCATTATGAGGCATTTTAAATCAGAATGCTCCATGCAATTCTGAAACATGACAGATATCAAATTCCTAAATACATCATTACTGAGGAATAAGTATGCCAATTTGAGGTTTGTCTACATGGACTGAAAATTATGTTCTTGTACTTACACCATATAATGCCCTTTTACTCTTCTTTTCCAAAATGTGTTGGTGAAATTTAACAGAGTTTGATCTATTTGACCACACTCGAAACAACTGGAATGAGCTGAATTTAACTGACACCACAACAGCTTACTCTGTTTCATCTCTTCCAGGTTCTCTGACTTTCTAGAATTTAGTACATGCTTTTTTATAAGGTCCTGTCACAAGAAAATACCATGTATTACTTGCCCACAAACTGTTCCCCAAGAAGCATTTTATCTGTGGACCATGACCATTGGTCTTGTCTTCTCTGAATACACGAAGTAGTTCAAGAGATGAGGTAGACCTACCACTGGTCACTTCCAAGACACCATTCTCCTTCCCAAAGATCCCTGCATAGGGTGGATTGGTTAGTTTTTGCTGGACATTTGGCAGCAATTTTTTCCTACACAGAACTGGACCAGCAGCCAGAAGGAACAAGATCTTGTGTCACCTTGTAGAAGAGTTATCAGAAACTCATTATGGATAAAGCTGCTGGCAGCATCATCTCCTGACAGCCTGGGAGACAGATGCACAAATTGCCTGGTCTTTGTTATTTGCCTTCCAGTTTCAGCTTAGAAGAGTCACATGAGTATTCAGTCCACCAACGCTCCCACCTGCTAAGATTACTTACATACTTGTGCTGAGGTATGAATGAAAAGAAAGTGAAAAAATCCCACAGGACTGACATGGTGTCTGCCTCCCACCCAGCCTCATCAGACTCTAAATCTAAAGGGGACAAGCTGAGAGCAATAATAGATTATCTCTTAATCAAAACTGTTTGGAATTTACTATCCTCAATATCTCCTTTATGCAAGCAGCGATCTGCGACAGAGAAGTTGTCTTCTAAAAAATTATTTTCCTCACTAATCATAACATTTCAAAAGAATTCTCTCATCACCTTCAATGTATCAATAAGAGCCAGTTCAGTAAGATCAAGAATTTATTGAAGCCTCTTGATGAAACATTTTAATTTTCCTTTGATATCTAAGGAGCAACATATGACAACTTTATTATGCCAGTGCACAGTCATATTGGCACAGCTCCAAAAAGAGCAATTTATTGTGTTGCAATAATTCACAGAATATGGAATTACCAGGAATACTACATAGGTACACAACCAGGTGAATAATAGCTCCATAAGTGACTTTTGAAATTTGGTCATTTCTATGTGTTTTTTATTCAAGCCTTTCTGACTCACTTTCATCTAGTAACATTAAACTGGCCTTATTACCACTAAAATAAAACTTTAACAAGCCAAGACTTTACAGAAACCTTCAAAGAAGGCACCATCCAAAGCAAATTTGATCCAACCTTCACAACCTCCAGTACATAAAGATAGCATAGAATCTGTAGATCCATAAATTCTCAGAAGTTACCTGCTACTCTTAGACATGTTATCTACTAATTTTCTTTCAGTCTGCTACGGAAATTAGCAGCTCTGGATTCTGACCACAAACAGGGGGTGGGACTAATTACACACACCAGACACCACTAGCTAAAAATGTGATTGTTTTAGTTAATGACACCTGCTTACTAGGACATTACACACACTAAATGAAGAGAGGATAAGAAAAGTCAACACATACTTTCTCAGTTAACTATTGTAGTCATCCAAGACATTACAATTTCCAGCTTTTTGGTAGTGGGCACAAGCAGAAGTGAATATATGCTACTCCCTGCATGGCTTTAGTATGGTGGCTCATTCTGGACTGCAGAAGAAAGTGTGTAGGCTTTATGCCATGGTGTAAACATATGTATCCCAATGCTTTAACTGGTTTCATTGCTGTGGAAGCAGTCTTTGGCATGGAAGCACAATGGACATTTGAGGGACAGTGACTTCCTAAGTGCTAGACTAGCTAGACTCATTTAACCATATCTGTCCAAAATAAGTGTAGATGCAAATTTTTGAAGTTAAATCTGAGCAACATAGAATATAAACACAGCATTATTGAACTATACCCAGAAACTCACTGAAAGCTCACAGAGCGTAGTACTGGCATGAAATAGCATTCAAATTTCAACTAACTTAACTTGACCAAGCAAGCTAAATTGCAAGAAAAATAATTGTAGAAAACAAAATGAGTAGACAACTCCCATAAGTGCAAATATCATGTTTTTATAGTAACTGAAAATTTTAAGATAGCTAAGCATATTACTACAATGTCATTATTATTAGAGACAAAAAGAAAAAGCCATGTTTTCAGCTAATAATTGGAAGGCAAAACACATTTAATCTCCTTTCAAGCTACACAACATAAGAATGAACATTTCAAACAAGTTAAAAATCAACATTGATTCAGAGTAAAAGACTTTTCACAAGGTAATCTGAAATGTAGTATGGTTCCCTCTGCATGCAGAATCAAAGGTAGCCTTTCCAATGTGGATATGACCACTGACTGTGCATTTCAGACTGCACAGCAGACCTAAGACAGGACTGTAGGGAGGAAACTGAAGGCTAAAATTACTCACCAAACAGTACATTTCTCTTTACATAAAAAGGTGTGATACTTTCTATTGGGATCTTATTGACCTATTCGCTATGCATAAATTAGCATTCTTTATTTTAAGTACACTTTCTTCATTGAGAAAGAGATATACTTAGAAAATTTTGGATTTTTCATATTTAGGGAAAGAGAATGTTTATCTGCACATATGCATGCACAGAAGAAAACAGAAAAAGGGAGAAAACCAGAGGGCTTAATAGTGCAAAGCCTGTAAATGATGCACATACTTAACTTTATCTTCTTGAACAGTATCAGTGATAGCAGTGATCCTGAAATAGTGAAATAAAGCCTACATTAAAGTACTTGGTGGGTCAGGATGTAATTCAAAGTCCCCTGAAGTAATTGGGAACCTTTTCATTGAATTTGATACAGTCCAGCCATATCTGCACTACGACTGCACAAATTGCCTATTATATATGCACAAAAATTACCACAAACTTTGCTCCCTCAGTCAGAATAAACCAGGATGGGCACACTGAAAGCAAAACAGATATGCTGACTGAGACCTACCTATCCTTGCAGAAATTATCAGACTCAAGTCAGCAACGACCTTGTATAATGACGCGGAAGCACTGACATTTCCCATCAGTTTTAGCTTTTCATCAGTCACCTTTTAAATAATCAAAATATTCTCAGTCAGAACTTCCTGAATGGAATTAATTGGATGGATAGCCAAGACAGATGTGGGACTGCTCTTCTTGTTGCCCAGAAGTCAAGAGTTCAGCCTTTGGCCATGGTGTTGGCTCACAGGAAGTTTTCCCTCATATCTGTGGTTCCTATAAAAGCTCAGGGCAACTCAAATCCAGAGAAACAGCTCTGGATATATCTCCAGGCCTGAGTGCCTCTATCACCTCTATGTAACACAGTTATCATAAGGATATCAAGGATCAGAACAGAGAACAAAAGGCACATCAAAAATTCATGTTGATGACAACCAGCCAGTTGTAGCCCAGTGTAACTGAACATGGATACTGTAATGAACTGCAGAATAAATGTTCCTGCATTAGTTTAGTCCTGTCTACACACGTCAAAAAACAACAGCACAACTTGAACATGGACTGGAGAAGCATTCCTATTCCTTAAGATAATTTTCACAAGCAAGTGAGTTCTAGAGCAGGGAGCTTTTCCGGTCACTGTGCTAGATTATCCTCATTCCTCCTACAGGTAGAACTAATCATAATAAGGCTTGTAATTTTGCCTTTTGAATGGTCAGAAGAAAAATAGGAAGTAACCTTCCTTTTTGCATTGCTGGCTTCATCTTTTAAGCAAAAGTGATGCTTTTGCAGTTTCATGCTTGAAAGCATATTACTTAAAATAACTAGTTTTCAAACCATACCTGTGTGAATGTGAGAACAGCTCTTTGCTTGTCGTGGACTAGCAATAAAAAGACTCACTGACAAAAGACTTGTATATGTACATTGAAAAGCACATTTAACCAAAGGCATGCAGAAATACTGAAGCAGTTCTCAGCTTCTTGCTGGAAATACAGACCCAGCTCGCCTTCTGGAAACCACCTGACTTAACTAACAGGGTGATGAGAAACAGAACCAGTTTCATTTTGCATTCAAGAAGTAGGGTTGCTTGACAGTATTTTTAATCTCAGCAAAAACAGAGTGTTTAAAACAGAAATATGTATTCTAATTACACTGATCATGCTATCCTTCATTAAGAGCTACATTACCAAATACCATCATCACTCAAAAGCAGTAAGTCAGGAAATCTTCAGACATTGAAGCATTTGACTTCTTTTCCTCTAAGGATGCTAATGCAAACCTCTCAGAAGGTTTGTATATGACTGATACTGAAAAGTATCACAAATTATTTAAGGCAGAAATTATTTTGTACCATTAATATAAAACATAATTTTGCTTTATTGAAGTAGTTTAGAAATGTTTACTTGGCTAATGGTCACAGCAGACAAACAATAAGGTAGACAATAAAAATCTTAATGGTCATGAAGAGCAGCATGAATACATCTCACAAATGCAGCAACAGGAACACTTGACTTCGATTGCACCAAAGCTCTCCAGAACTGAACTCCCCCTGCTCCTACTCAGGAATGTTTTGTAGCAGCACTGCACAGATTCCAACAGCGAAACATTTTGTTCCTGAACCAGAAAGTGTTGCTAAGTGACAGCAGCCCTCTTCTCTTCCACATCATTTACAAAACCCAGGCTTTTATAAACAAGCAAATGGATAGTTAGGGTGCAACTGTCTTACACTTCCCACATAGTTCCCATATTTGCACAAAATACACTGTTGTTCCTGAAGGCAAAGTCTTTATCCCCACGACATTTAAACTCCCAACTTTTTT